TCCGATAACGCGGAGAAGCGGGGGTTCTGGGCAGATGGGATTATCGATAGTTATTGAAAGTCCCCAAATAGGATTTACAGAGCGGGCTCCTGCGCCTTTAATAGAATTCTAGATAATCTTTTATCACAACAAGACACCCATAGAATTATTTAAACAGATTGGTGGCTGCAGCCGCAAATTTCAATTATTCTAATGCTTTAATAAATGTGGTGCGTGTGTATTAAATTCAAGCTTCTTAATCCAAATTTTACGATTTAACTGCCCTGATTTTTCATTACTGCTGCACCCGCGCGCTCGGCTCGGCTCCCGTCCTTGGGGCGGGCGATCGGGGTTGGGGAGCGCCGAGCACTGCGGCCGCAGGAGAGGGTCGGTGAGCCTGGCACATGGCCGTGGGGAGGCAGGCAGGGCGACGGGAGAAGGGGCCTCAGGAGTAGAGACCAAGGTTGGGCCCGCCGCCTGTGCACAGCCTCTCCGCGCCCTCAAAGCCGCGCGCTTGGGCCAGGCTGTTTCCCATGCAGGGGTTCTGTTTGGGCACCCCGGGGGCGCCCCAGGCAGGACAGGAATAGGGACTGTGGGGGTCAGGCTGTTCTTCCCAGAGGCCACAACTCGTGCCCACTATGCCCGCTCCTCTCTGTCCTCCTCTCTGCAGCCCCCGCTCCATTCCCCAAGCGGGACCAGTGAGAACGAAGGGGTGGGGGCGAGCCCCCTCCCCGCCCTCCGCCAGGCTATGTCCCATCTTCCTCTCCAGGCACTGCAGCCAGGGAGAAGCAGCCCACGGCCCCTGGAGGACACTGAAATGGGGTGCCTATATTTCTCTGGACTCTCTCGCCTGGTTGGGGCAGGGTGGAGGTTGCCAAGTGTACCTCTGTGCGCCGCCTTTAGAAAGGGGACGGGCAGTCTCCCACCTCAGGTTGGCGATCATCCCAAACACCCCAGGTCCTCACTCAGTGCCTTGGCCCTGCTCTGGGCTGACCCGGCTGAGCTGGGCTCAGTCCAGAGAGTCCACCGCTCATAATCTTTGTTTAATGTTGCATTTCTAAGCTTCGCATTAAGCAGCGGTCTGGGCGGCTGGATATTTAGTTGTATATAATTTACACCCTGATCCTGGATCGATCCAACACCTCCGGATGGAGTCTCGCTCATTTTTCACGCTCCTTCCGAGGTGCCGAAATAATACCCCCTCATTAGGAGACTCCAAGGCATGTCTAATTTATCCAAACTGTCAGGGGTGTGTACAACCTCGGGTTAAAAATAAATCAGCAGAGAAACAGCACCCCGCTCTCCCCACTCTCCCAGCCCCGCCCCACCCCCACTGAACAGATCCATCAACAAAATTAAACCAGCCCGCGCCTAACCCGTTGACTGGCAAACACACCGGGCCTGCCAGAGCCGAACTGTTCATCACGGGCACCGCTCTGCCGGGCAGTCGAGGCCGGTCACCAAAGTGGGCTGCCCTCCAACCCAGGAGCCCTCAGCCCCCACACCCAGCACACACACCTGGAGCAGAGGGGGCTTGTGCTAGGACCACCTACGGGACAGCTGCCCTAGGAATGGCCTCCACTCTGGGATGCTCCTGGCCCAGCCACCAGCGTTGTCGCACTGGGGGTCCTGGGTGCTGTCCCTGCCACCTCATTTCCTTCCTAAACTGCCTACCTAATCACCCCACATGGAACAGAGTGGCCCTTGTCGCCTTCCAGACCCCACAACTTGCCTCCCTACAAAACCCTCATCTAATTCTTCCTGTGACCCCTACCCCAAAGGCAGGAATCCTGAGGGTTAACCTAGCGGCTAATCACTCAGCTGACCCTGAAGGTCCGAGGTTCGAACCCGCCTGCCCGCCGGGAGGAAGGTGGAGCCTCCCTACCCGTCTGCCACCTCAGAACCACTGTGGGGTCCTTCCGCTCTGCTCTCCAGAGTCATGGCACCCACAGCCAGGTGAGCCCCTCAGTCCACTGCACCCACACACAGATGGAAGGGAGGAGGAGACATCCCCCTCCTTTTGCAAAATTAAAAAATCATTAGTTGACTGGGGTAGTTGATTCAGAAGGGCTCGCCTTGCAAACGAGGCTCTTGAAATTACGTCGATAATTAATTGTGCAAATTTGTTTCTATTAAATAAAAATAACACGTATTGAAGAACTCAATTAGCATTAATTAAGCTTGATATCCTAATTTGGAAGTTGTGTAATAGAAAACAAGCATTTTGGTGGGTGTTCTTCCCTCGGCTGCCTCCTCCCCCCCTCCCCTCCTCCCGGCACTGCTGCTTCTGCTCCCCGCTCCCCGCTCCCCGCTCCCCGCTCCGCCTCGGCTGGAGAGAGGAGCCGCTGTAGCCTTTGGGCCAGCTTCCCTCTCCTTAGAGAATTGGAAATGAGAAATGGAGATGGGGAATCAGGAGGTGCTAAATTAACTGCCTGATCTGCACTTATTGCTGCATACACATCCCCCCATTACGGCGCCTTTCTGCAGCTCGGCTCTTAATATTCCAGGCATGGCGAGCCGTCTAGATAGCAGATTTATCAAATGGGAAAATGAATGTATGATGATCAGTTAAATTGAAAATCAGCGCCTGCATGACAGCTCGACCTGACACCTCCGTAATTAGAAAGAAAAATGATAGCGTCGGATGCATAATAGAGCAAAAACAATTTACACTCTCCCATAATGATCCGGCGTTCAAATTGAAAATTTCTCCTGGTAGAAATTGAATTCATAAAGTATGATTCATGAAGGACACATCTCCTGGAGGCGCCCGGACCAGATCGATTGATAGTTTGTCTAGAATCACACAGCCTGCTGCTTTTGGGGCTTTCAGGAAAAAGCTAAACTGTTTAAGTAAATCAGTAATTTCACCTTAAGGACACGAGTGTGCAGCCAGCGATACCCCAGCATTCAAACTGCAAATCCATTAAACATGAGGCCACCCCCCTTCCCAACTCGGCGCAGCCGCCACCGAAATGAACAGCTGCAAATGGAAGGGAGGAGGCGATTTATCGCTGCCAGACAAATTGTTCACCTTAGATAAAATAACCGGCATTTTACGCACAATTTTCTGCTACAATTTCATAATTTAAATGACACTTTAAATACAGTTTAATGGAGGTGGGAGCGGGAGAAAAGAGAGAGTGGACGGAGAGGTAGGGAGACCACCGCAGACCGGCCTCAGACAAAGGGTCGGAGGGGCGAGGGCAGCGATGTGCGGAATGGGGACCGCGGACCCCACGAAGAAGAGCAGGCGGCGGAGCTCGGGCGCCTCCGTGGAGGCTGCAGCCGGAACCCAGCGACCTCGACCGTCGCCAGGCTGGCGGGGCCCCCCTCCCGCCACTGGGGGCCGCGCACCCGGGGCCTCCGCACCCTCAGCTCCTCCTCGCCAATCCTACTCCCTCTCCACTCGTCCTTCCTCAGCTCGCTCACTTTTCTTTTGATCTAATTATTTTTCCTATAAGCTCGGTCTCCTAGAGAGCAAATATCAGAGTCACTGAGCGAAAATTATGTAAATATTATTAAAGGGACTGGGGCTCCGAAATTCATTTGCGCCCGCACGCGGAGGAAAGCTGTCCTTCTGATTATTTTCAATTTATTTGCAAATAAAGGCCTGATGACCAGGAGGGATCAGGGATATTTAACGAGGCTGTAAACATAATTCCACCGCGCTCAGCCTCGCCAGAATTAATGGTTTTAATAATTGGGATCCCAATTTCTTGGGGAATTGGTGGCTTTTGGCGCCCTGAAGACCCAGGACCCAGAACAGCTGAGCAGGGCGCGTGGGGTTCTTCGGGGGAAGGTTTCGCTGGGGTGGGGCCACGGCGGGCGGGGGCGTGAGCCCGGGCTGGCTGCAGGCCCCAGCCAAGTTTGCTAATATGTCTTCGCTGCAGATGTCCTGAAGCCCCCGAAGGGTCCCTCGGGGACCCGGACCCTATTAGGACAAATGTGCACTGCTTTTGTAAAGAGCGGCGTTGGCGGCGCCTGTCCTATTACAGGCGACACATGATCAATCGGCTGATAACGCAGCAACATCAATATAAGCGACAGAACAATGAGGGATATCATTGGGCATCTATCTTAATATAGCCCGCGACAAGAGCCCTGACAAAGAGCGCAGCTCATGAAAATTCCGCCCCACGATTCCCCAGCTCCGCGCCAGCCTGCGCGCGCACTCCCCCAGCTGCCGGCACCATTATTCTCCAATTTCAATTTGACACCCCAGCCTTTCATGCTAATTCTATTATTGTAGGAAGTTTATGTGATTTCATATCACTAGAAATCGGTAATGTATAATAACCCTTTGGGCAAGAAACCCAGTCCCCGCAGCAGCCACCGGAAAATAATTACTTTCATATCAAAACTCTGCAGGAGCCCGCCGGCCCGGCCCTCGCAGCCCCCGGCGCCGTCACCCGCGCCGCGCGCCCTGGCGAGCACCGTGCTCGGGGGCGGGCGGGGGTGTGCGTGTGCGGGGGCGTGCGTGGGGGGCAGCGAGGGGGGAGGGAGCGCAGGGAAGGGCGGAAGGGGGAGCTGCGGATGCATAAATTTGTTCAATCAGAAAACACAAACACGCGCACACAAAAGGATGCGTTAAGCAGACGAGGGGGAACAGCGGCGCCCACGCCCCTCCCCCACGGGGGGGCCGCGGCGAATGTCGGGAGGAGGGGCCAGGCGCGCCTCGGAAATTTTTAAAAGATGGATCCGAGGACCTTGCGTTTGACCAGTTTTATTTATCAAAAATGGTACATATATAAATATTCTTAGACATTTTTGCATTTTACAAGGCTGAGGATTCTCGTTGTGGGTTTTGTGGGATACGAGGTTCTCTTTGCTCCCTCGGGAGGTAGGGGTGTCACCCCAAGTCCTGCGGGGGCCGCCTAAGTCCGAATTGATACAGCGTTTGTCTTGACTTTAAAAATCGTAATAACCAACGGAGAGACAGAGCAGGGAGCGGAGGCCGCCGTCACCTGATTCGCTGCGTGAGCTGGAGCGCAGACGGGCCAGCGGCCACACCGCTGCGCTCAATCCATGTCCACCTCGTCGCCCTCGGGCGCGCTACCCTCGGCCTCGGTGGCGCTGGGATCTAGGGCCCCGCAGGCGGCCGGCTCCTCGATGGGGCTGGGAGCTCTGGGGCTGAGCCCGGGAGATGGCGGCGGGGGCGCTGGGCAGCTGGCCCCAGCCTCTGCGCCGTCCCCGCTGCCGCTGCCGCCCTCAACGGGGTCCCGCAAGGACGCGGGGGGCCCGGGGGAGGCGCCGGCGTCGGGGCTACGGCGTGCGAAGGCCGGGTCTGGAGCGCCGCCGGGTCCAGGGAAAGAGCCAAAGCCCGGGGCCGCGGGCGATGCGTCCTTGGCCTCCCCGCCCGCACCGCTCTTGAGCGCAGCCTGCGGCACCAGGAAACCCAGAGGTTGCGTGATGGGGTAGAGCAGAAAGTGGCCCTTGCCGATCAGGGTCCGTGGAGCACACGGCAGGCCCGGCGCGAAGTCCAGCCCCGCGGCGGCGGCGGCGGCAACAGCGGCGGCAGTGGCGGCAGCGGCGACGCCGGGCGCGGCTTTCCGACGAGGCGGGGAGTCGGACAGCAAGCTCTCCACGCTGAAGGGGCTGGCCTTGGGCAGGCCCCCTACTCCAGCCCCCGCCGCCCCGGGCGCGCACGGGGCTGCGTCCTGGTCCGCGGGCCGGCCTGGCCTATGCTGCGGGCCGGCTCCGCTTCTTTGGCTCGGGTAGTAGGCGGGATCGCAGGCGGTGGGCGCGGGGGGCTCACCCGGAGGGGCGGGTGCAGACCCGGGAGCGGAGGAAGGGGCGCTCGGACCCTTGGTTGTGGCCCCAGCTGGCGGCGGCTCAGGTGGCTCGGGCGACAGACCACCTCCGCCGCTGTCACTGTCCGAGCTGGGCGCGCTGTGCAGCGACAGGCCTCCGGGCGAGTGCAGGTGCCGGCCCTGGCTCTTCAGCAACTTCTTCTCGTGTTTGCGCTTCTTCTTCTCCATCTTCTCCAGCTCCTTGCGTGCGATCTCCTCAGGGTCCATGGGCTCGCCGCTGCACGTGGTGGGGTGCGAGTTGTGCGCAGGGCGCCCCGGGCCCTTCTTCGTGTTCTCTTTCTTCCTCCACTTGGCTCGGCGGTTTTGGAACCAGACCTGGAGCAGCGGGAGAGGGGGGAAGACAGTGTCAGGGCGCGGCCTCCCCGCGCCTCCCCCAGCCCTGCGCGCCTCGCGCCGGCTCTGGCCTCGGTGGGCCTCACGGCTGCAGGTTCTAAACGCTGCCTTTTCCGCCAGGAAGGAGCGCAGATAGGGCCTCCCAGGCAGCTTCCCCTTGGGCTTCTCACCTCAGGGTGTAGGACCCCTTCGCTGAGCAGAGTGCGGCTGGCCCCTGAACTGAGACCGCTGAGTTCCTGGCTGAGGCGGACAACAGGGCCCCTCCTCGGCTCCTTCTCGCCTTCTAGGCAGCCCATGGGTCTGGCTTTGGTCATCCAGCCTGAAGAGTCAGCCTGGTAGCCCTGCACACACATCTTCGCCCCGGGAGCCAGCATCAAAAGCCCAGGTTCCTGGATGTCCCGTGAAGGGGATGCAGGCAGCCCTCTCCGCTGGAAGGCCTGGGAGGCCTCCCTTCCCCAGCATATCTGCACACCTGTTCCCTGACATCCAGGCCTCTTCCCAAGCCAGCCCACAGGCCTGCATAGAGGGGCAGACACTGGCAAGCAGGGGTGAGGTGCTGATGCGTCAGGCCTCCTCCACCTTCCTCTGTGACCTGGTCTAGGGCTGCTCTGTCCCTGACCAGCACCTTCTCTGCTTTCTGCCAGACACTGGCCCTGAGTCCCCACACACAGTTTCGCCCAAACCACTGATGCAGCCAGCAGCCACCGCCCTCCAAGACAGCCAACAGTGGTGGCTCTTTGTTACCACCCAGCCTGCCCAGAGGAGCCTGGTGGGAGACTCAGCTTCTCCAAGGAACCGCTCTCAATGTGCTCGGGTCTTATTTTAGCTTTTTCTTTGGGGGGTGAGATGGACATGCCAGGCCCCAGTGTCAAGAATTACCGATTATGGTATTAGGGGACAGGAATAAAGAGGTCTCAGCTTTACTTAAAATACTCAGAACAAACTGGATAAAAGGGTTTCCAGACCAAAGAGAGACAAGGTGGGGAGACCAAGCACAGATCAAAACACTCTTCCAGACAAAGATAGTGGTGGAACCAGGCCTCTCCCTGGCCTCAGCACCCTGTCCAGCACCCCGGTCCCAGACGAACACTGCACCCCAACACCCAAACCCCACAATAAAAGATATTTACATGTGCCAGGAAAATGTCTCTCTATGCCCTCTTCATGTTAAATCCACTATATTGATGTAATTACATTTTTAGTGACTATCAAAGGAGTGAAATCAAATTATGCAAAGAATGGCCAAAATCCCAGGAATACACAACTGAGATATTAAACAGTCCACCTTCTCCCAGCGGCTTCTAGTTAGATTTCCAACCCCGCGCCCCCTCCCCGCTTCTGTAATGCGATGGATGAATAAATACACCTTTCTCGCTAAATCTAGGACAAAGGTAAACGCGCAAAGAAAGGATCCTGCAGGTTGCGAGCCTGACCTCCTGGAGCTCCCGCGGCTCCCGTCGCCTTTCCCGCGCTCTGCCGCCTCCGAGTCCCAGCGGCTGGGTCCCTCTTCCTCCCCTCCTCCTGCAGCCCGCCAGGACCCTTCTCCATTCGCAAGGCATCCTGGGCCCTGAAGTACCCATTACCCGCTTCGGACGCAGGCGCTTCTCTCGCGCCTTTGGGCCTCTGCTGTAACCTCCAGTCCTCTCGACTTTCCCCAGGGACGCCACGCATCCCCGGGCGAAGCGCTGAGAACTAGGCCCTCAAATGTCCGGGCAAGCGGAGCACTGTGGAACTGGGACGCGCTCTAGCCACTGGAACAAAGGCGGGCGGGCGCAACGCAGCCCCGGCGCCGTTTGCGGCTCCCGCGCGTTTACCTGCACCCGGGACTCCACCAGGTCGAGGCGCAGCGCCAGCGCCTCACGCATGAACACGTCCGGGTAATGACTCTCGTTGAATGCCTTCTCCAGCTCCTCCAGCTGCCAGCCTGTGAAGTTGGTGCGGGTGCGCCGCCGCTTGCAGCCAGGGCTTTCCTTGTCCGGGTCTCCCGAGTCTGCGGGAAGGCACAGGACGCTGCGCGCTCAGCCACACAGCCCAGGCCGCACCTCCTAGCGCGTCTGCGACCCCGCGCCCTGTGCCCGGAGGAGTGTCCCCGCCGCGACGTGCCAGCGGCCGGTCATCCACCCCTTCTACCAAGGACACCCCCATCCGCCCCTCTTCCCCCCAACCCGCGCCCACCTGACAGTTTGAAGGGCTGGCTGTCGCCGCCGACCCCGCAGGCAGCAGGCAACAGCGGCGTGGGGGTGACCACCGAGGCGGCGGCTGCGCACGAGCCGCTGAGCAGCCCGTCGATGGAGAAGGGCACCGAGGCGGCGGCGGCCGACTGCAGCTGGTGGCCAGCCAGCTCGTACACGTGGTGGTGGCCCAGGGGGTAGGGGAAGCCCACCACGCCGCCCAGAGAGCCCCCAAACTGGGCGTGCGGGTGCTCCAGGAGGCGGCTG